TTTGGGTCTCCCCGCACAGGTTCGAATCCTGTCGACTGCGCAAACATTTTTTCTTTTTATGTGAGCACGGATGCTGGACAGACGGACGGACAAGGCTAGACCCTATGGAGCTTTGCCCCTAATAGAGACAGTGCCACAACTTAGAAGTAGGAATGACATCTATTCTGGTGTGTGATAAGTCATGAAACCATTGCTATCACTCAGTTTTGTTCTTGTCGTCACTGGATCTTTAATTGCACTCCTTTTCCATCAATCTTTGTCTTTGGTCCCTCTGAATTTATCAGAAGTAGAAAACGTTTTTGTTGATCTTATGATCAGCTAAGCCATAATATTCTCCCAGCATGCTTGATTCAAGTGGCTGGGATTTAGGGAGCCCACCCTTAAATGGTCCGTCAATGGCGAGGTTCAATGAATTATTTTAACTAGTCGTGCCTCTGGGACTGCTGATTAGGTTTGTCCTCTTTGGGGAAGGACATTTTTCACAGCACCCGTTGGGCCCCTGCAGCATGAATCTGAAACATGGTGTCTTTCCATAGCAGAGGACCTGACCCGCATTCCGAAAGTCACTCAACCTGTTCCTCTACCATGGTACATACTTGTCATCCATTCTTGGGTGCTGCACGATGGCATTCTTTGGGAACACTTCCTGTGGGAAAGCAATTTTCTCTGTCAAATTTGTGCATCAATTGATTTCAATCGGTTTCACTTAAAAGTTGCAACATCCTAGCAAACAGACATTTGTCGTTGGTGACAATGTTTGAATTGCCTTGTGAACCTTTGCAGCCTGTCCTCACAAAGCGCTGCTTTGAGCCTCGGGGCCACTGGAAGTGCCACTGCACTTTGAATCCTGGTTTCGCATTGCATCATCTATTTTTTGCTTCACAATGTCAATCTCAATTCCATCCTTGTTGCTGTAAAGTTCAGTAATAGTTGGCATGTTGCTTCCTCCAGTTGCAATCACTGTTTTCGTCCATGAAGTCTTGCTTGGCCTTGTAAATTGATGATTGCTTTACTACTCAAACAAGTTTGAACTTGAAAGCCACACCATAACATCTGTTGGTTAGTGCCATTGCATTGAAAGACGAGACAGCCCTTTGCAATTGTAACCCTGGGTGCAAACGAATAAAAGAATGGAAGCATGGTTGCTTACGCTGCGTGTATCCCCCCACCCCCCCATATTGGGCACCGGGCACGAGGTAATGTTCCACAGTTGTGGCAGAACCACATCTTCATATCCAGACTTGACTTCAGAGTTTCATATTTTGTGTTTTTCTTGAAAGTGCTGGCCTAGTTTTGAGTAAGAGTGTACCTCATTGGATTTGGCAAAGCAACCTAACATTGTCTGAGAGTTGCTTCGGTTATTGTTTCGCGGTTATGGTAGCGTGAGCTACACTGGGAAGGGGGGGGGGGGGGGGGCACGGGACGAGGTTGAGCAGTTTTGTGTTGCTCCCAAACAGCCGTGCTGCGCAGGCACGAGGAGCAGTGACGTCACACGGCGCACAGCTGGCGCGCCGGAGCCGCCGCCGCCGCGCGCCTTGCGCTTCGCTGGCCTGCGCATTTCAGAGGAATGACGTCATAGCCGCGGCAGACGCACTGGCGCCGCCGCGTGCCCAGCTGTGCGCCTCTGTTGCGCAGTAGCCAAGTCCGACGCTGCACCAAAGCCGCTTGATAGCGCCTCTCATTTTGTGCTCATAAGCTCACGCTACGTATATCCTGGCATAGCCAAGCTAAGCCACCGCAATTTATTTTCTAAACCTTCTTAACCAGATCTCTATGGGCTTTTGCCAGACGTAGTAGGTTTCTATCTGCTTCATGCTGATTTAAAAAGCTACATTGGAGCGGGACAGCTTGACTGTCTGAGTGCAGTGGAACTGCTAGTATTCCTTATTTTTTTCTTACATTAAATGACATTGATCTTACATTCTCTGACGTGTAACGTTCACATTTTTATAGCAATCGACAAAGAAAGCTTGTTACCTTGCAGGAAAAATCCAATCCTGGGACACCTACAGGAACCAATGACAAAGCTAAAAAGGCGAAATGATTGGAAAAATCGGTCTCAAGTGCAGCGCCAACACGAAATATGGCAATTCGACGAAGACGGGGTAGCGCAGTCTGGCGTGAGACACATTTACATGACCCAACATGGCACGCACGGTACCTTACCTGCCGTTTGGGCCTCTTAGCATACCCTTTAGCATTTTGATCCGAGTAAAGTTACTGCACCTCTCAATTCCTTATTTTGTCTTACTTGTGCTGAAAACTTGTGTGCTTGCTCTTGTCTCGTACTAATGGCAGTGGCTTTCAATTCTCGTTATAACTGTAGTAAGTTACAGCTCAAGAAGGTAGGGCGAAAGAAAGGAAGGCCGGGGAGGAGGAAGCAGACGGAACACTGGAAAGCGGAGAAGGTTTCGCCCCCTCCTCCCCTGTTTTTCGTCTGCTTCGTCCTCCCCGGCCTTCCTTTCCCTATTCTTACCTTCTTGAGTTTTAACAGAGTATAGATGTGCGCAAAGAGTTCAAATAGATGCCTTTTAAAAGTCCATCGGGCAACATTCGTGGTCGCCGTTCTTCGGGCACGAAACGTGTTATTGGATCAGTCCTGGCTGAATGATGACGCAGCACTCGTTTTCAATATGGGCTGAGCAGAGTTCATGCTGAACTTTGATGCAGCTCCTCGTGTTCAATATGTAATCAGAGTTCTTGCCCAAACAATGGCGAACTCGGGTGATTGGTGCAGCTTCTACTAGATGGCATGCACTCGGGGTCGGCCCTAGGGGGGGCCACCTGGGCGGTCGGCCAGGGCGCCATCAAATGGGGGGGCCGCCGTGTCCCTTTTTAGTTTTCTTTTTGCTTTTTGATTTATTTTGAACACTGCGCCCGACATGATGCCATATGCTCAATCGCCATTCATTATTTTAATGGGGTTCTCGTCTCACCAAATGCTCAATTGGTGCCACTACTCACATGTTTACTAATAATGTGGTGTCCTACCTACTAGATAGGGGTGCATAAAAAAAGGGGGGTGGGGGGGGGGGGGGGGGGGGCACGGCCCTAGTTTGACCAGGGCGCTTGATGGTGTAGGGCCGACACTGCATACACTTTTGAAAAGGGTCTATTGATAAGCAAGCCTCTCTTGGGAGTACAAACTTAAATGGACGTTTGGGAAGGAAAACGGTGGCATTCTGTATCTAGACTGAATGCAGAGAAGTGTAATAGCCTATGTAATCTTGCTACAACTCGGGTGCCATTTAGCTTACATTAAGGGGGGACACTACCCAAAAAAAATATTTTTGCAAAGAAAGTTGATTTTTAAAAATGTCATATTTACATTCACCAAGTACCAACATATGAAGAGTATTCTCAGAAAGTCTAATTTGTTTACGCTGCATAGTTATTTTTTTTATAAATTGTTTTTGGTCCACTGATGCTAAGAACAGGTATAGGTTCCAGCACTTAAAGAAAACTATCGTTTGGTCACAGGACAAAAGGAAGGGCTCGCTCATTGTTTTTCCTAACTATAATTTAATGGGCGATGACACTGTGGCATTGTTCTTTTATTTATTGATGTCTTTTATAAATTATCTAAGATTTTTTCGTCATAAAAGGCAAAAAATGTTTTTGATTTTTCAGGACCATGTTAGCATAAAATAAATTACTTTTTAGAAATTTTGTTTTCACAGTTGCACTCTCCAGGCATTCTGCTGTGTATCTAGTGAAGAAAAAGGTATGGTATTACATCAGTTTTTTAATGATAGCTTTCCTAAACAATGTCAGTATGTTCCTAATAAAATACAACTGCAATTACTTTCACAATTTATGTACACAGATGAAACTTTGCATTGCATTCTGCCACACAACTGCCCGTGTATACTGTAAATTTCACTCGTACCACGCCAAAGGTTTAAAAGTTGGCTTTTTTGGGTAGTGTCTTCCCTTAAAGGGGCACTCAAGTGGATCCTGAAATAGTCTATTTACCGTCATAACTCAATCTACGGGCTCTAAGCATTATAAAAAGCACGAAATCACATTCAAGAGCCACACAACTGCCCGTGTATACTGTAGATTTCACTCGTACCAAGCCAAAGGTTCAAAAGTTGGCTCTTTTAAATAGTGTCTTCCCTTAAAGGGGCACTCAAGTGGATTCTGAAATAGTCTATTTACCGTCATAACTCAATCTACGGGCTCTAAGCATCCTAAAAAGCACGAAATCACATTCAAGAGCGGCCGGAGATTGTACCGTGCCCCCCTTCCTGGCCCGTGGCGCAGAACACCAGGGGTCTCCACCGGACGGGAAAGCAGCAGGGGAGGGCACGCGACAGCCAATCACGAGTGACGACTTCCCAGCTGACTGATTTTCTGAAGCGCTCGTATTCGAAAATTCAGTCCGCCGGGAAGCCGTCACTTGTGATTAGCTATTGCGTGCCCTCCCCTGCTGCCTTCCCATCTGGTGGCACCCTGGTGTTCTGTGCCGTAACGCAGAAAGGAGGGCGTGGCACAATCTTTGATTAGATTTTTAATAGAAAACTAGGCCACCCTCGTATGGAATTTCGGGTTTTTAGGATGCTTAGAGCCCATAGATTATCACGGTGAATAGACAATCTCAAAATCCACTTGAGTGCCCCCTTTAAGTTTTTGCATAAGAATTTCTACAGCCCTCATTTATCGACCGAGTGCAATCCGCGGCAGTATCGAAACCTCACAACCCTCTTTGATCACCAGAATTCTACATAAGGCATAGAATATGTTTAGTTTCATTAAGCCATCTGCAGTTTTCGCATCTATGATCATAATATATCAGAGACCGTAGAGTCTTCATTGATACACTCTTCAAATGCATAACGTTGGAAAAGTGTTTCTGGGAGGCATTCACAGATCTTCGACTCTGGCAAACGGGGGAACCAGAAATATGTCCACTCTAACGGGTTGGCTTCCCGTCACTTCGCGAAAAGGGGTGGCTTCTGTGTGCATCAAATGTTCTTGCCCAAACTTGCTTTTTCCAGAGAGCAGATGGCTGACGAGCTGGTGGCAGCGCTGCCGGCTTGTTCCCTGGAGCAAACAGCCACACACTCTCTGGCGGAACCCGCAGACTGCGCTTCGCATTGCGCAACCTGTGTAAGGTGCAACATGACCACTTCCCTCCTTCGTCTGCAACGCAGCTTCGACGAACGGGGCATCGAGCTGCTCGCAGACTGCACCACGGACTGCTGGCTCAACAGGCAGCTGGACATCTTGAACAACATCCTTTGCAATGTCATCATGAGCTTAGAGAGACGGACGCCTGGCACGCTGTCTCTCTTGACGCTCACGTCCTTGAAGAGTTCCGAGATGAACGTCGACGCCAACCAGGCACTGGCACTGCTGCTCGTCTTGCTCCAGCTGCACGGGTGCATCGAGGAACTGGACTTCGAGGATCGCCACGCCATGGGACCGGACGTGCTCACCGTGCTTCCGGCGGGTATCTCCAAGAGCTGGAGGCTGAAATGTCTGAACCTAAGAATTTCAACTCCGCTGCCGGCGGGGCTCGGGCAGTGGTTGAGGTTCCAGACTGTCCGCTGCTTCGGTTTGAGCAATGTCGTCATCTCAGCGCAGGAGGCTGAGGAGTGGTCCCTGTTTGTGGACAGCTGTCCTTCTCTGCAGAGGGTGGTGCTGAGCCTGAACTACCTTGACGAAATGTCGTCCTGTGCAGTGCTGACAGGTCTCAGCCGAGCCAGCAAGCTAACCGAGCTAACCATTAAGAACAATAGGTTAGGAGTGAAGGGCTTGCAAACTCTTTCTCGTGCTCTAAAAGAGAGGTCAATTTTGACATCTCTGACCCTGTGGAATTGTGATCTCTCAGCCAAGCACATGGAACCGTTGGCGGACGTCGTGGCAGAAGGCTGTACCATCAACACACTAGATCTGTCTTGCAATTTCAGGATTGGTGATGAAGGCATCAAATGCCTCTCCGAATGCCTGCACAAGAACAGGACGCTCAAGAGATTGTGTCTTACTAATGTAGGTTTGTCTTCAGACATTGGTTGTGGAAGCCTAGGAGCACTTCTGGCTGCGAACACTACCATTGAGTGCCTAAACTTGTCGGAAAATCACATCAACGACATTGGCATTGCTTGCATGGCCGCAGGACTTGAGAGCAACGCCACTTTGAAAACATTGATTCTCGAAAGCGTCAGAGCAGGTGCAGATAGTGTGGTTGTTCTTGCAGACGTCGTCCTTGCAAAGTCTGGGAGACTCAGGGTCAGGCTTGGCAAAGTTAAGGTAGCAGGGGCTGACTCTATAAGGTTGGCTCTGAAGCTGAAGAATAATAGAGCACGGGAACACCTGGAAGTCTTTTGGGACTCCAACAGCGTAGCGAACCTTGTCGATATGCTCAATCGATGCACGCACATGGACGAGCTAACCCTACCGGACATCACATTTGAACGTGGTGCCACAGGAAGCCCAAACTGCTTCAGCACTCTTTTCGAAGGACTCTGTGCTAGCGACAACGTAAGGGCACTGACAGTCACGAACGCCGACAGCGTCGGAAGTGAAGAGGCATTCTCCAAGTACCTCTCGAGGACGAGGACGCTAGAAAAGCTCAGATTTCTCTATGGTGCAATCGTTCGGACAGACAACCACATCATGGCGGGACTCGTTGACAACTTGTCTCTAAGAGAGGTTCATTTCGGCGACTCCTTATTCGCGAGCAGTTCGGCACTTGCAGAGGTGTTGCACCGAAACTCGACCTTGGAGGTGATAAAGTTCTACCACTTTGAAGTTGAGGAACTTGGGATGACCAAGCTGATAATAAACCTCAAGTCCAACACGAGCCTGGTTCGGTTTGAGACCAACCCAGGCTGCATACCGCCGAAGTTCTACTTCCGTTTCCACGACCTGTTGAGGAGGAACTGGGACCTTTTGGTATGTGCCGTGGCATTTGTGCTGTATGGCGTCCAAGACAGAGCTTCGGCGGAGGCGTTCGAAGGGAAGCGGCATTCGGCCGAGCTGCAGGCAAAAGTTGCTTCCCTTGGGATGGTCTCCAAGGAAGAGGCTGGGTGGATGATAAGGAGGGCTGAATTCCGCAGAAGGAGCGAGTTCTTTCTTCTTGCAGGAGTGGTTCGTAAGGACCTCCGCTGCCTCCCAACTGCAAGCGGTCAGCCGCAGCTCGAAAACCTGGGTGAAGTGCTGTGCGAGATTGCTTCGTACCTGAGCATTAGCGATGTTCGGGGAGGTTTGACGCCCTTACGATGGACAGTCCCAGCAAGTCGGTGTCGCCAATGGCTGCGCCGTTGACTGTGGATTCATGTTCAGCAAGAACTGTATTCGTGGAACGATGGAGGCAAAGTTCTGGTATCGGCCTTGCCTCGTTTTGTTTTGCAGCACAGCTTGGCTGTGCTGTGGGAAAGTGAATGTAGCTTTTGCTTTCTATGTGGTGTACCGTCTAAGTAGACTAAAGGCAGAACTGAGTCATTTTGGCCATGAAATGGCCAGCCTGGCTCTTGCTTGTAGATTTTCATGTTGCTATGCATGCACTGGAAGTGGAAAGAGTGTCAGTTCTGTACATAGGAAGCAAAGGGCAGCCACTTCTGTGTCCCATTTCTGCAGATGTACAACTTTTTGTTTTTATTTTGCTGACGGCGTTGTTCAGGGGTTAATCTGCTTGATGCTCCAACCTGAAATTTGAATAACAAGTCGGCATACTCTAATATAATATTTGGAGGTGCATTTCAGAGCGGTGTCACATTTGTCTTGTAAATAAACAGTGGTCAAAATATTTTTATGCCTTCAATCATTGTAGTGTGCAAAGATGGTTACTAAATTTGAGGCAAAGTTTAAGAGTGAAAACATTAATCTGGTATTCCCATTCCTTTAGTGAGCCAAGATTTCAACTCTTCACACACTCTTCTTTTATGTGCCTTCCAAGTGGAATTAACTATAGTAACATGCCTTTATCACATCTATACAGTAAGAATGAGGACTTTCTTGGTGATGCACAAATGTACCTGCGCATTTTTAAGCTATGTATTAAATCCATGTTCCAACAAGGGGGTTCTTGACGAGTTGTGAACATTGTCATAGCCGTCATCAAAGTTGCAGCATCTTTTATTGAACCATATCCTTGGACAGATTCATTTGAATCTCGTTTGTCATAGGAACGATGTTGCCTAGAGTGAAGTACCAGTAAAGAGGAGTGCACCTGTAAACCACCCTCAGTTAATGAGAAAACCGAAAACTGTTCAGTAGGAAGCTTTCAAGTTCGTGAGAGAGTGGTTTGCAGCAATCAAAAATGTCTATAAAAAAAAAGAAAAAGGTTGATTGGAGACAGCTTCAAGTTTTTTTTATCTTTTTTTAAGCTTAATTTGGAAACTGACATGAGAGCTTCAACTTTGTTTTAATGTTCGTCTTAGGTGACGAAAATGCATGTGGCATACTTGATCTACCGGTATCGATATTCGCTGTGCTATAGTCAGTTACAGGTTAAGAAGGTAGCGGCAAATGCCCCTCAAAGGGAATCGGATATCCCTCCGCCACCTTTTCATCCAATAGCGTCCCACCGTTTCCGTGTCGTCGCGGCCAACGCGCGAGGAGGGTCTTGCCCTTCTGTACATATTTGCTTTATCTTTCGACTTGGACTTAGCATTGTGGGAGCCACGAGAGGGAGATTAGAGTTCTCCCCCACGGACGGAAACAAATACGACTTTCGGGGATTAGCTTCCCCCCCGATGGATACAAAGGTCGCTTTCTTAAAAAGTGGGATCGGAGACAAGTTGGAATCCATTGAAGCGGAACAAGGAGTGTTTCCAGTGAACTCTTCTTTCGACTGCGGAGAGACTTGAAACGGGCGCATCACACTTGTGGGAGGAGCTTCTCCTACCTTTATTAGCCCCGAGAGCGAACACAAGCGTCGCTGCAGTCGCCGCGCCCGGATTGGGTGAGGTGTACCGTGACGTCAGGGGGAGTACTCCGCTCCGCGATCTCGCATCGGCTCGCTTCCCAGCACCGGTTTCCTGGTTTGGCGTTGTGTGCCGCAAGCTCTTCGAGGAGCTGGACTTCGTTTACTCAATGTACATGGCGTTTAGTTAGGCCGATATTGACGTGCTTCCGTACATTTTATAAGCCTGCTTGTACCTTTTAACTTTAAAATTGGGTTACAAATCCCGAAAACTATCGGCGGAGGCAATTACGCCGATGAATCTCCCCGTCCGTCCACACGACGCAAGGCAATCTTGAGAGGGGTCGGTGAAGCGGTGGCGCGAGTGTTTCAAACGCTGGAATTCTGTTCCTTGCACGTTCACGATTTAAGACGATATTACATCCCGCTTTCAAGGCATTTGAAGTGGCATTTATATCATGGGCCTTTGGGTGGTCGGCAAATTAGCTCGCGACCCTGACTCTGCGCTGCCACTCTGCATGCGCTGGTTCGCAGATGTTTTAAAGGCCCTGCGTCTGATGATCTTGAAAGTGCTCGTGGAACAGTTTTTTTTTAAATAAATGTAGCTTCTTCGTGAATTAATTATATAGTTTACACACGAATGCAGGCATATTTCTTAGAAGCTGTACAATTACTGGAAATTAGTTTGTATGGTGGCAGCAAAAACGGCCGAATTGCCCCCAGTTGTCTGTATATGTATTGGCCAAACTATGCACGGCAATAGTGCCGTAATATGGGATGTTTATACTTTTTCCTGACATTTTTTATTCCAGCCTTGGGTATTTCAAAAATACACCGTTTAGCCTGAATTGCCATTTCCAATTAAAAGGGACACTGCTGCAGGTCCCCAAAAGCTTCCTCAGCCTCCAAACTCCCTAGAGCTGGACTCTCCGACATCAGAGGAAAACAGGAGTAAAAGCAAGCATTCGAACGTCTGTCCAGTGGTAGATGCAGCACTATCAGCAGAAAATGTAGAACCTGTGAAGGGCGACACTCTGCGGAAGAAAAGCTTCAGGTATTTTAGCTTCAGGACAATTCGATTTAAGTAAAATTTCAATTTTAGGGTTGAAGGGGCTAATAACCAGACTTGGACGTAGTTCAACTACTCTACTCAAACTACTGTAGTTTAACTACTTTTCCGAGTAACTTGGTAACTTTCAATTACAACTCTATTTGGGTAATTAGTAGTTTAATTTAACTACGTTTTTCAGGTAACTTCTACTCAAATTACTAACTACTTTCAAAATTTAATCCTTTTTTTTTTTTCATCACAAAAGTTTGAGTGCAGAAATAAATAAGACGCTGGCAGATTAAGTGCTATTCCCGAACAAGGGGCCCCCTCACATTCCGTTCCCACGCACTTACACTCGGCAGCCCTAGAAACTGCATCACAGGCGTCCTTGGGCCAAGGTGGCGACGACGAGCAGCCAAAAGATAACACCGGAGCGCACGAGCGCAGTCAGAGATGCTTGACAAGCCTTGGTCGGGTGTTGACCTAATCCGATAATGCACGCAAGCGCCGCGTTTCCAGCTGCAAACGTGAAAGACGGGGACACTCCGAGGGTTGTTGTTGTTTTCATGGTGTGCCTTTAGTGAGTTGTGACTCAAGTGGTACACTCTTAGAAAAAAGGGTCAGTATAGTCCTCCCTAAAGGGAGGAACGCTCTTGACACATATGTTCCTTCAGAAAGGGAGAAACTTTCGTCCCTTAAGCAGGGGAGGAAAAGTTCCTCCGTCGACTGCATCTCATTATGGCGGCCACGAATCGAGCAAATCGAGCTCGGTAAGGCTTAACGAGAACACTAAGTCTATTGCACGAAGCGAGAGGAGCAGGAAATAAAAACGTAACACGAGCTTTCCGCGAACTGTATTTATTTCCGAAGTTTCTTTACCCCTGCAGGTAAAGAAACTTACGTTTCGAAAGCATGCAGTCACTCAGTCTTCTCATCGTCAGCACTGCGATGTTCAACGGAGACAACCGGCACTCAGTTCGCGCACTTTATGTCCTACCTTTGCTATTCCTCGAGCCACAATTCCTTCGTCAACCGTAGCGTCAACCGCACATCACGGAGGAGTGAAAATCATTCGCCCGCAAAACCAGAAGCCGCTCTCAAAAAAAAAAAGCAAATCCGAAGCAACCTCTTGGCTTATCTCAGCACGGTAACACGAAATTATGGCGTAGCCGCGTAGCGTAAAAGGATGTTAAATCGCTTGCCACCAGATGGCAGGGTCAAGCAGAGTAATCGCACGTAGCTAGGCTAGGTGGCGCTAGGTACCGCCCAATTCATGTTTTACAAAAAAATATTTTTATTTTTTTTGCGCCACATTTGCGTTTCCTTTTCTTCGGAATCTCTAACACATGTAGACACGTTGCGCACACTACAAACATCAGGTCAACATATATTGAACGCATACACAGGCATCGCACATACAAACATCAATACAACAGCACACTACCCCGATTTTTTTTTTTTTTTCTTTATTGCCGTTTTTACAAGTCACTCACTGCGTACATGTCTGAGGTAGTAAAACAGCAGAAATGACAGTGTTACTTTCTACCAGCCGGCCTTTGGGCTAGTAGAATAAATTAAAATGATTTCAAATGCCTAACGGTTTCCGCACATTGAATCCAATCTGGCACGCAGCTCTGTGCCTTGTGTACTTCTACAATCAAGGCAAGACTCTCGCCGAAATATTCCCGAGCCTCACGCGCGTCGATATCGGCATGGCGCGTAGCCATCCGAGACCGCCAAATACTATGCAGGCCCAGTAACATAATCATATCAAAGGGCACGCCGTCCTCGTTTTCAACTGGAAGGTATCTAATTCCCTGCATGTCTAACGGAAAATCCTTCTTCAGGGTGCGTTGGAGGACATCCCAGAAGAAGACGCCATCCCAGCACTCCAGGAATACATGTTCGATTGTCTCGGGCTTTTTACACAAAAAACAGTGGTCGCCCCACGGGACGAATAGTCCCTTTTCTTTCATCCATGTCTTTACAGTTAAGGTGCCGGTGTGTAATTTGAAAAAGAATGACTTAACACCAGGCGGGACGAGCATTCTCTTAACGCGCTTTAAGACATCCTGTCCCGGGCCCGCACAATACAAGCTTCTATACAAAGGTACGGGAAAGAAAACGCCACATAGATCTCTATACAACTTTTTTCTGGATACTTGGCTCAAATACTCAAAAGAAAACCTGGCTGCCAAAAATTTACTTGAAAAGACAACTTCCTTGAGATATCCGTGGATGCCGCCTGGCACCCATGCCGAGGAAACGATAAACTCAGGCATATGTCTGCACAGTCTCACCTGGTAGACTGTTCGTAGAAACGGGTCACTGACATCCCGAAAGTAAATAAAACGATTCACAACTTGGCGCAAAAATAAATGTGACAATCCTAGTCCACCATCGCGGACGCGCCGAAAGAGGTTCATACGACTCGTCCGTTCAAATGACGAGCCCCAAATAAAAACAGCAAAGACGCGGTGAAGTTTTTGAACATTAACTCGGGAGCAATGCAATACCTGTAGCACGTACCACAGTTTGCTAACAAGAAACAAATTGCACACTGTGGCACGGGCAAAAATAGACAATTCCCAACCTCTCCAGCCCTCCACTCTCTCGCGCAGTTCTAGCGCCCGCCTGCGCCAATAAGGCTCACTGTCACTGTAATTCTCCAGAGGTACGCCCAAATAGTTCACAGGAGTTGTTGACCACCTTATATTTTGAAACACACTGGGAGTGGAAAACCAGCGACCATGCCAAAAACCCAAACACTTATCCCAGTTCACAGCACTTCCACCAACAGCACAAAAACGTTTAACTATGTTCACAACTTCAACTATGCTTTCTTGATTCGTGCAAAACACAGCGATATCGTCAGCGTAAGCTAAAATACGTACTTCAGATGCAAAAAGATTAAACCCGCGGATACTGTTGCTTCTAATGATGCTCAAGCAAAACGATTCTATGTAAATGCAAAAAAGGAGAGGTGAAAGAGGACATCCTTGGCGTACGGAACGCTCTACTTTGATGCGCTTTCCAACCGACCGATTTACTATAAGACTGGTGGTACAACCGCTGTACGCCATTCGCACACCTTCTCGTAAAAC